CCAAGGTCCTTGGTTCGAACCCGGGCGGAATCAATTTTTTTCTTCTCTGAAGTAGCTTGAAAAGTAACAAATAATGTCAACAGCTAGACGTTTAGCAGAGATATACACACCGTAGAAGTGTACACTTTTTGTTTTGTAATTTTAACTTAAAAGCCTAGACAATTAATCGTAGACAACAGTAATCGAAAATAAGCAGGCATCGGTGGTTCAGTGGTAGAATTCTCGCCTGCCACGCGGGAGACCCGGGTTCGTTTCCCGGTGCATCTGTTTTGTTTCATTTTAAATTTTGCTGAGAGTGACAAATCTTTATACCCTGGGAACCCCTCAAAGGCAGATCTTGATATGTGTCACTCAAAATAAGTAATTGAGACTGTAACTTGGGGATCCCCGGTTATCACGTTCGTTGAGTGCTAAGATCACGTTCTGTTGGCCTGTAAATGTCATGTTAGTGCTCAAGAAAGTTTAGGTATGGCTTATTTATCTTACAATCTGTTAACTCTTACATATTTAAAAATGGAACTTAGCGGCTGCTCAGCTTCATGACAACCAGGAGGTGGCTAAAACATTGTGAAATTTCGAGATGAAATTTAATAATTGGTGACCAACTGATGCATCTGTTGTGCATAAATTATAACCATGTACTAGGAGTAAGCAGGTATTTTGGACAATTTAGGGTGATTTTCAAATGGGTAGCGTTTTAGCTGTTAACAGAATATATGGCTAAGTGCTCCCCACATCAGTACGTGCGGTTTTGTTACCAGACCACGTTACCATGGTATCACATGTAGACGTGGCTCAAGCGCCGAACATCTTTCTGACATTTTTATTTATTTTTTTCAGGAGATGACTGGTGTGGTTGACAGCCTTCTTGACACGGACAAGGCGTCAACCGATGTTTAAACCCTACAGTGTGCAATAATGTAGCCGCAAGCCTCACTTGATTTTATTCATTTCAATAAATGGAGTCTGCATGCATTTCATCGACTCGTGAATTAAGCTGCCTGACACCACAACCGACTGAATTCAAACTTTGGATTTTCACGGCTCATCTCATAATCACAATATGCAATCGCTGATTTCAGCTACCACCATAATTCACATGTTCACCGCACTAAGCCCCAATTGTTTGAGCAAGAAATACAAAATCATCTAAGTAACTTACTTAACAACTGAGAAATTAAGAGAGGTAGGCTGTAGAAATGATTTCAACTGAGCAACGGACCATGAAGTATAAAAACTCAAAGATGAAAAAAAGGGGACTTGGTTCAACGTGCCGCAACGTTCTGGGAAACAAGTCTTATGTAAGGGCTTATATCTCTATTCCCTAGCACACGGTGCAAAAAGTCCAGTCCTATCCGGCGTAATCCTTGTCGGATTGATGATCTAATCCTGCGTGCTCATCGAATGTCAGAAATCTTACCGGAGTAAACAGGTTCGAGTGTCTTTGTGCAGAATGTCCTCACGTTTTCGAAGACAGGAGCGTGTGTAGCGTCGCCACATGCCTGAATTGTTGCCGCGCACAGGGAAAATACAGGCTGACGTGATGACTGTTACCAGAATTCGAAAGTAAAATGGAGCTGACATCATGACTCACTCTCGTCTATAGTTGAGAGACTGTAGAAAACGTCTTAATCGTTCCTTCTTCTTTTTAAAAATCTAATAACAATTTAATAGCTTTCATAGGCAAATAGTGTTAAGACTTTTGGAATTAACAGGGAAATGAAAGTTTGGTGTTATCTTTCTCTTTAATTGATTCTTGGGCAATAGTGTAAAGACTTGTGGAATTTTTTTATGAATACATAAAAAGTATGACTTTGCATATACAAACGACATGAAAGGAGTTTAGGGGAATGTAAAACTTTTCACATGTTTATCAGAGTTTAAACGAGTAAGTCTCTTTTCCACGTTTCCCCTTCATGACACTATTTTGAGGCACCAGCCTCCCTCCCTAGAGAGCTCGAATTGCACTACAAGAAGAGCTATGCGTACGGACGATTTGTTGCCGACCTATCATGTCTAACGCTCTGTTTCATTGTCGGATTAGAATCAGGAAAAACTTGACTGTCATTGTAAGCCTACGCTGCCCAAACATAGACTGTACATTGTCAAATGCTGTAATGTTCTCCGTTTTCGTATGACACTGCAATATCGCCACGTCCATGGTACTTTACCCCTTAAGGTGTGAAGAGCTTGTGTGGAATTAGTAACAAACCGAACTCAGTATTAAGTCACGTCACGTTTGTTCTGTAGAGTGTGGTCACCGTTATACAGACCTGTAAAATCAACTGTATTTGCAACGCTCTCAGGACAAACAGACTGTTAAGAACTCACACCAGAAGGTAAAAAGGTGGTACACGCAATCTTCCATGGTGACTATGTCGGTTCAAAGTAAGCATTATGCTTCGTCCTGAGACAGGTCTATTTGATAAATCCACGCAGTGGCATAAACAGATCACCAAAGTGTGTACAACATGGAAAAGACATACACAAGAAAAGCAGATTTTTTGGTTAGAAAGTAAGGAGGTAAAATTTCGCTAAGGAGG